TCCAGTGGGCTTTTGCCTTAAATTCTGAAGAGCATGATCCTAAGGTTACACATTTGTTACAGATGGTAAATGTGTTGGAGATGCCCTTGCAAATTGAGGCTGATGGTGTTTCAGCATGTATATCCACTGGAATTCAACAATATTTTAGACATTATGACATGAAATCTGTTACAGATAGAACTTGCAATCATATAGGTCAAACAATTTTGAAAATATCTAACAGTAACTTTTAAAAGATGGTCATAAAACAGAAGGGAAATGTAATATCTCCCAAAAATAGATTAAATAATGAGTTTTCAATTTTGAAATGTTTAAATAAGATAAGTAGCACACCTGCTAAGACACAGCAGAATTTAGAAAGAACTGTTGAATTAAACAGCATATAAAGGGCCTAATTCCAAAATGGAGAACAGGGAATATGTTACACTGGAAAAGAGTTTTTATGTGTATTCATACAGGAGAAGAGAAATTATGGGTTCCATCAAAACTAATAAAAATCAGACATGACAGAGGAAGACCACCTGAAGATCTTGGCCACACAAAAGAAGAGAGAAGTCAAGAAGACCAAACAAAACAGGTAACATAAATTGCTAATCCCTTCACATGGGAACAACTCTAAAATTGACTGAGACATAAAATATGTCTCTAGCCAAAACTTCAACAATACATGGCCAATAAATACTTGGCTACAGTAAACTCAAAATACATTATGCCAGTCTTTTAACTGGCATAGATAAAATTGGTTTACAGTTTAGCTTTATCCTGCACATCTCAGACATTTGTAACTTTAGAACTGTATAATGCTTGTAAGAAATTATATGTTTGCAGAACTAAAGGACTAGACACCGGAGACCCTGGATCAAACTTGATAGAATTCATGCTTCCAGTATGCTGAGACATTGACACATCTGTCCCAGCATCTTGCATGTTCCATCATTCCACTTGTTTCTTCTTCAACTGCTTCAATTGCTGTTTCTCATCAAAGCCTGACCCCAAGAGAGCTTTGAAGAAAACTACTAATCTCAATTGGTCCAGGATTACGACTGTTCCAAACAGGACTTCTATTAAGCCTGAAACTTATCAACATTCAAAGACTGGACCAAAAAAGTTAATGCTTGCTTAATTAACCATTTTTCCTAATTTCCTTTGGGTGCCTTGACAGGATTTTTGCGTGTCCAAAAAGTCAGCTAGAAAAAATTCATGAGAATGACATCCAATTTCCTTTAAGGGGGTTGGTATGTTTTTGGTTGTTTTCTGTGGCTAGGAATGTTTATTGTCATTGGGAGATGGCTATAAATTACTAATGGTCTTATTCAGAAAGAGAACAAGGTTAGACTCAAGGATTTCTCTCTTTTCCTTTTTCTTTTCTCTATCTTTCTTAGAAAAGGAGAAAGGGGGTTGAGAAGAAAGAAAGGGGAGTACAGGAATATCTTATAGGAAGACAAAAGGTAGGTTATTGAATCTAATCAACTTAAGGCTTTATTTGTTATTCTCAATAAGGTTATTTTTAACTCTGGTATAGAATTTTGTATATTGATGCAAAAATAAATCTATTTTTAATACATTGGTAAATTTTAGTATATTGATACAGATTCAAGGTTACTTCCAATACTTTTATACTGCTATTACATACTGTTTGGGGCATTAGGTAATGCAAGTTAATTGCTAGTTAATCAACTCACAGTCATGTCAGACACTAGTCTAATTTATCACAGGAGTATACATCCTAGGTTTAATAGATAGGTATGATTTCGTAGACATATCAACTACATAAAGATAGGTAAGTCTTCAAAATCTTCAGAGACCTACAGAATATGGTATTTAAAAATGTCTATTATTTTAAAGATTCTTTGACAATGAGACAGGTCATCTCCTGGCAGCACCCCGCCTACACCAAAGAAGATGATGAGCAGCAGAGAACCTCCATATGGAGATGGCTTCAAATGTGGCAAATGAGCCATCCGGACAAAAAGAAAATGCCCTCATTTCATGACAGACAGAATTCTGCCAAAAATGGGCAAGTTTAAATGCAGGACAAGTTGACTGCTGAACTCTGCCAAGACAAGGTAATCAAGTCCTAAATAGTTCTTGTTTCACATATATGTCTGTCAAATAAACTGAGCCAGAAGGCTGAAGATGATGCTGCAACATTATAGAGAGTTTTGGGTGACTGTTCAGGCAGCAAACTGTCTCTGTTAATTTTTTATTTTTTGGAAGCTGTTAACATGCACTTCCTATTTACTCCAGTAACTAATTTTATTACTTCTCAAGTCTCTGGTGGGGTTGAAGACCAAATAGTTATACAATTAAGCTTAAGTTGTTTAGAATTTAAGAAAATGTTTTCATATAGGTAATCTCAATAGTTAATTTAGGTACAGAACTCTAAACTTGTTAAGATAGGATAATCATATACTTTTTCCTAAGTTGCCAAATGCACATAGACTGGACATTTCACATATAAATCTTAACTAATAGTGTTCATAACTGTTTTATAATTATTTGTATTGAAAGAAAAGGAGCCTTTTATTGGACTTAAAGGGGGAAATGTTGATATAATATTCTTGTGGAATGTATACAGTTTACTCTTGTTCTTTCAAATGCTCATTTCTCTACCCCACTGTCTGGTTTTAATCAGGATACTGCCTTGTGATGTTTATTCTAAGCATCACTTGTCTCAAGTTTGTATAAACATGCCACCATTTGTTCTCTGTAATTGTCAATAAAACAACCAGCCAGTGCTGTGCAATGGAGAGAATAGGGTGGGACATCCTGGTCCAGAGAGGAGGAGAAGGAAGTGAGTGGGAGGAATGGAGAGCAGAGATCAGCAGGAGAGGGCTTAGAACCCTAAGGAGAAATGAATCAGACCAAAGATATGACTAAAGGCAAGTATAATTTTGGAAATTCTGAATGGGAGGAAGCTATTCTGGCTTGGAGGTTTAGGTTGGAGTAATCATTGTCCATCATTGTGTGCTAGGTTAATTAAGTAAATCCTAGTCTCTTTGTGGTGTACACTCTGTGGGTGTACAGCTGGTTTAGGAATAACCAATGTTTAACTAAAAGATAAATCAATGATAAATATTACTGATCAACAACACTAGATAGAAGATAGATAGATAGATAGATAGATAGATAGATAGATAGATAGATAGATAGATAGATAGATAGATAGACAGACTGACAGATAGATAGACATACAGAACCTATACGGCAGGCATGGTGCACTTACCAGATTGTCATTATGAAATAATTATAATTATCATACTAAGAAACTTAACATTAAAAGCCAACAGCAAAAAAAAACATGTGGGTAATGCAAAGAACCATGAAACTTCTGAGTCAAAAAGAAATGCTAAAGGACCCAAGGTTCTGTAACAAAATGAAAAGTATCTTTGATCGACTCATCAGTAAACAGGATGTGGCCTGGGGAATGAAGCTCTGAGCTTGAGACTATATTAAATGAAACTGACCAAAGTGAAGAAAGACAAATAAAGAAGAAAAGAAGGGAAGGAGGGAGGAAGGAATGGGAAGAGAGAGGTCCCAGGAAGGTTCCGCTGGTTTGACATGGTGGTGCATTCCTATCACCTAGAATGAGCTCTCATGTACACAATGAACTCCAGCAATAACTAGGAAGTGTCAGTGAAGGTTCACTAATTACAAACCACATGCTGGGAGAGAGGCTGAGTTCTGAGTGGACAGAAAATAAATGGAAACTGTGCTTACACTCAATATTTGTGAACCCAAGACTGCTCTGATCATGAAAGTCTATTTTGGGAAAGAATGAATAATTCTGGGGGAAAGCAGAGATGGGCAAATCTACTCCAAATGAAAAGCATAGGAATGAGCAGGTAGTTCAGTGGTAGTGTTTGCCTAGCAAGTGTGAGGTTCATGGATGTTATGGTTTATCAAGCATAACCTTTGAAGTCATTCACCTGAAAGTAGGCACACTTAACTCTAAAAAGATTGTGATTTTCCAATGAAATAATTATAATAAACTCAAATATATTTTAAAATATTTTGTACAGTGTTCACAGTAATTTTATGTCCCATATAGCTTTCTATCTATTACCTTACTTCGAAAGCAGGGTCCTTTCTGTAGAGATCTGGCCTTCAATGGAACCCTACATTAATGGGGAAGCATTTTCTCTATTGGAAAAGTTTCATGTATAGTCTCAGTAAATTTATACAGGAAGCTTTTTATTTGAGAAAGAAGTTTAAAACCTATCCACCTAAGCCTATGTTTTAAAGTCATTCAGTTGGCCTGAAAGAGAGAAAAATACAAACGGCAAGCATTGAAGCTCTGGTCACTATCAGACCAAAAGAGACACTGACTCCTACAGTTATATATACGACGGGAAATATTTTTTAATTAAAAAATGTTTGTGAGTTTGTGAGGTGATTCAGCCAGTAAAGGTGCTTTTGACCTGAGTTCGATGGATCCCCAGAACCCACCTAATAGAATGAGTTAACTGATCCCACAAAATTGTTCTCGGACTTCCATGAACAACATGGTATGTCCACAACAGATAACGAAAATAGAAATAAAACAATTTTAAAATTGTTGAGTATAAAGTTCACCCCTGCTTTGAATTTATTTTAAATCAAGCATTTTGAAAACATTGTATTCTTAAAAACAAAACAAAAATAATACAAAACCCAGCATGTCCTTGTAAAACTATCAAAATAGGAATACATTTTAAATCTATTGTTCCTAATTTTTGAATTATATGTTTTGAAGTAATGGTCTGTGAGGTCTAAGAGTAAATAAAATACCAGAACGTACTAACCACAATGCCTGTGTTTAAACTGAATATAGTCACTAAGAATCATTTGAGAGGATGAGAGATGTACGATTAACTCACTTGGGAATTCTTTTACAATGAGCAGAAACCGTATTTGCATATGAAGAAAAGACACAGATTTTTAAACGTGCAAATGTATTTTAGAAGACACACAGCCAGAAGCTCTGGTTTGGAAGGTGAGGAAGAAGACACTTCACATACCCTGCTTTGACAGGCAGCACACTTCCAGTCTTTGCTCAGGAGAACACCAATAGAGCCGGTACGCCTCCTCAAGGGCACTCCTATACCACCTCGTTTTATTTTTATTTGTATATTCTGCCATCTATAGAAATGCATAAATTCAAACAGTGTTTATTTTAAATGTTAATTTTGTTTTAGAACCTATACTTGATTTAACACTTGCTAGAACTAAGTCTAATTTGAGCACTATATTATATGTTACTTAGGCTTTGATATCTGGCTATTACTTTATTGTTTTAAAACTTAGCAGTGTTGTGAGACTCCTGCAAGTTAGTAACCAGCATATTAAGATGATATGATGCATCTCACATGCTCCCAGGGCGAGCAAGCAGTCAACATGAATACACCTGACTGGGTTGTCATGTTATATGTGACAGAGAATGATACTAAAGTGGAAGAAAATGGCAAAGCAATCCTTTTGTGTAAAAACATTAATTCCATTTGCATTTGGTTTGGGTGTTGTGACAGACCTGAACGCACGCACACACGCACACACATACATACACAAACACACACACACACACACACACACACACACACAAACACGCACACATACTTCTTACGCTTGCTCACCACAGCTTCTCCATGTACATAATATATGAGACATAGCCATCTACAGCTGAGTTCTTGTGATTGTTATGAGACAACAGATGATAGTTTCTAGGATCATAAGAACTCAGTGTGTGTCACTCTAATGAGACACAGCACATTTTTACATGTTTAGAAACAATGAACAAAAGAACCTAAGTAAAAAAAAAAAATCAATCACCTAATACAGCAATTTTTTCGGTTTTTTTAATTGATAGAAAGATTTTTATGTTTTTAAATATTACAATTTATAAAACGCATGCCATATTTTAAAATGCCATCAAAAGGAATATAGCTATTATTTTCCTGATACATATTTACCAACTATGCATACATGCCATAGGCTAGTCTTAGATAAAGGGGATAATACAGTATTTGCACAAAATTGTTGACCTCTATAACATTCCCTCCTAACTCACAGAATGAAACTGTACAAAGCCCTTTTCAAATGTCATATTATTCTTGGAGTCCCCAAATTAATATCAACTATTTACTCCAACTACGCCCAATGTCGTCGTTTAATGATGTTACATTCTGACATATGTCCCAGTTACATGTGGCAATGACTGTCACCACTCATAAATGAAGTTCATGAAGACAATGAGTAGTTGTCTTTGTGTATTTCATGGTGCCACTGGTGTGATACTTTCCAGAGTGTTGTGAATATTCAGAAAATGCCTCTTACCTGTGGTTCTGGACAATCACTGGTACATAATTAAAGCAGTAAAAGAAGATAATCAAAATTTTTTCATACACATAATATGTAAATTTCATTCATTTGCTAGGTTATTTCTTAGTTTCAAAAATGAAAATGTAGGCACTTTGTTAACTGTAACCTTTAATGGTACATTTGTGTATTTTGTGTTTGTCACAGCACATGTGTGGAAGCCAAAGGACTGCTTGAGGGGCCTGGTTCTCTCCTTCCACCATGTGACTTCTTGGGATCAAACTGAGGTCATCAGGCTTGGAGATAAGCATCTTCACCCATTAAACTATCTTGCTGGCCTTCACAATGTAAATACTAAATTTAAACTATCTGTTTGGGCATTGTAACACATACCTTTAACCCCAGCACTCAGGGGGTAGAAGCAGGTGGATCTCTGTGAGTCCAGAATCAGCCTGGTCTACATAGTGAGCTCTAGGCCAGCCAAGGCTACATAGAGTGACATTGTCTCTAATATACATGTTAGATTTTCAAAGTTATGGTACCTCTGCAGCACTAATGTTATCATGATGATAAGAAGATGTACAGTGAAAAAATCTCTTCATAAAACTGAACAGATGCTCTATACCTATAAAGAGACAGTTCGTGACCGTTAGTGACAACCAACTGCAGAGGTAAGGGAAGTGGAAAGCTGTGACTCTGGCAAGGCTTCTTTAAGAACTTACGGTAGATACAGGACACCTAGTGGCTGAACAAATTAACACTTCTGAAGGCGCTCAAGAACTGAGCCTCAACTTTATGAAGACTTTTTAATTCTAGAATTAGGCTCACTGTACGCTGTATTTTTTAATCAAGAAGCGACAGGTTAAAGCTCTAGGGGTTCCGAATGTGCATTCTTCTCATCGTCTGAACCTTTCTCATGACATCAACCATTACTGATGCTTTGTCTGTTTTTCTACAAACAGTATGGACTTACATGCACTTGGAAAAGTGTAGGCACCTATTTTGCAGTGGTATCAATAGATCCATATATTTTCTTTGTCAACTTTCTCTCTAATTGTGCAGTTTATTGGTTGAATTCACATAACGCACCCCCCTATTGGGGGGGTCTATTGGTGAGCAGGCAAAGCTCACCTCTGGGCTGTTGTGTGAGAAGGAACACTCCAGCACAATTGTGTGAGGTAAGGAAAGACTGCATGGCAGGAGGGAGGAAGGGCGATCACCCACGCAGGGTGAGCGTGGCAGGGTGGTCAGAGGTACCTGCTGAATGGTGACTTTGAGCAAAGATTTGAAGGAGGTTGGGGAGTTAGCCATTTAGCTCTTCAAGGAAAGAATGTTTCTGGTGGAGACATCCTCTATGGGTGGCTGAGAGACAATGATGAAGACAGAGAATGCTAGAAAATTACTGCAGGCCAGAGTAGGGAGGTTCATGAAGCCAGTAGATGGGACTGGTTACCACACAGCATGAAACAGGTGCCACTGCAGAGCTCTGAAGGATGTATTCCTTTGTTTGAGTGCCCCCGCACACACACCCCCGTTTTAACTTTTGAGACATGGTCTTACGACACCTCAGGCTGGCCAGAACTTGCCATCCATGTCTCACTCTGAGCACTGGAATTACATGTACCACTATACCTGGCTTTGTTTAATGCCCTCAGTCACTCTTCTACTTTGATGAGGTCAGGTTATGCAGAGGTGAGTGTAGCTTCAGAACAGCTATTAGCAGGCTACTGCAACAGCCCAGGCGGGACACCACGGTGGTGTGGAAGCGTGGTTGAGTATGTTGACTGTTATTCCATTAGCAATCACATTACTTTAGTAACATTAATAACAAATGGCTTTAAGTATTAGTGTTTTCATAGTTACTACCTTGTGTATGTTACAGGCTACTATCATTCTAAGTTCTACTTTCCAACAAATACAAGGTGCGTTGCCTATTGAGATTTTTGTTAAATTGACATCTTATCAGTTAAATCTACCACACCAAAAAGTGGATTCTGTTTTCCCATCTTCTTGTGCTTATTTTCTATCTTTTTAGTACGATTTTGAAGTTTTACTTACGAAGCTTGATACATTGCTTCTCACACTTACACCAGGGCATTTTTTTTATATAAAACTTGTTATTATTAAAAATGAGTATCACACATCTAAACAAACTAAGCAAAAGAGAGGACCCTAACTAAAATGTTCAATCCCCATCCTGAAAGGCAAAGAGGATGGACATCAGAAGAAAACGAAAATAGGAAACAACCTCGGAACCCGCTACAGAGGGCCTCTGAAAGCCAGAAGAAAACAGGAAACCACCTTGAAACCTGCCACAGAGGGCCTCTGAAAGCTTCTGCAGTATAGACTGTCAAAGCAGATGCTGGGCCTGATGGCCAACTGATGGGCAGAGTGAATGGAATTTTATGTAAGAAGTGGGAAATAGTAAGAGCTGGAGGGAACGGGAACTCCACAAGCAGAGCAACAGAACAAGATAATTTGAACACAGGGAACTTCCCAGAGACTCCTACTCCAACCAAGGACTATTTGTGGAGATGACCTGGAACCCCTGCACAGGTGTAGCCCATGGCAGTTCAGTGTCCAAGTGGGTTACATAGTAATGGGAAGAGGGACTGCCTCTGACATAATCTGATTGGCCTGCTCTTTGATCACTTCCCCCTGGGGGGGAGCAGCCTTACCAGGCCACAGTAGAGGACAATGCAGCCACTTTTGATGAGAACTGATAGACTAAGATCAGAAAGAAGGAGAGGAGGACCTCCCCTATCAGTGGACTTGGGGAGTGGCATGCATGCAGAAAGGGGAGGGAGGGTGGGATTGGCAGGGGAGGAGGGAGGGGCTTATGGGGGGATACAAAATGAATAAAGTGTAATTAATAAAAAAAAATGAGTATCACAGTTCTTATTTTCAAACTGGTCACTTTCATATAGAAATCACATTAGCTTAGATATAACTGAACTTTCCCATTTTCAATAGTTTTTCTATTATTTAGTAAAGCTTTGTTTATAAAAGATTTTCTATTTGGGTTCCACTACTTTTCCAGGTATATAACCATGTTAAAAGCATTATTTTGGAGCTGGAGAGATGGTACAGTGGTTCGGAGTATTGGATGTTCTTCAGGAGGACCCAGGTTCAATTTCCAGTACTCATATGTTGACTCACAACTGTTTGTAACTCCTGTTCCTATACACATAAAATACAAATTTAAAATATTATTTTACTTTTTCCTTTCCTGTCTATGCAACTTTGCTTCACTTTGGGCCAATTACATGAACAACTAGAATGCAACATTAAATATTTAATGTAAAAATTTAACAAACTTTTTTTTTTTTTTGGGACAGGGTTTCTCCGAGTAGCTTTGGCTACCCTGGACTTGCTTTGTAAACCAGGCTGGCCTTGAACTCACAGCGATCCACCTGCCTCTGCCTCCCTGAGTGTTAACATACATTTTTTTTTAATTTTAATCCCAATTTCTTACACAAATGACAATTTCTCCTCTAGTTAAAATAGTCAGTGAGTACATGTGCTTTACAATAATTATCTTAATTGAATCCTTCTGCAGAGGACTTCATAGCAAGTTTGTTTATAACTATCCTTGAGAAGTGCCTCTCCTAGACACTGTTCCTAAAATCATTCACTTGGAATCTTCCAGGTAAAGGCTTCTGGATTGTCAAGAGAGGCCCAGTGTCATCCCACTAAACAGAATCACTGCACATCCTTGTTACTAGGCTAACATTTACCAGGAAGAAATAAAAAACATGTTGAATGATTCACTTTATATTAAAAAACTAATGTCAGTAGTGTGGTAGCAGAAGCCTTGATCCCAGCAC